GTGTTTTGTTCTTTAGTATAGAGGTTGTCTTTACATTTTTAGTGATACTTAGCTCTCTGTATATAAAGTGGAATTAGAGAATCTATTTTTTTCCTGCCAAATAAACTTATCTTCCTGTACACTGTATCTGGCACTTTGTCCCAATGATAGGAGCATGACTAATATTGCACACTTTTATTTAATGAAGTGTTTGTTTCTTCCTCTCTTCTCTGTTGTCCCATTTTAGAATAAGTTCCAGCTCTTTCTCCTCCACTTAACTAATAAACTCTCTTTACATCTAGAGATTGTATTTGGTGCTAATTTACTGGCTGAATGCAGCGAGAAGTAGTTTTGGGGGCTAATTATTTTTTTAATTCATATTTTCTTTTTTCATGGCCATTTTAGTCAAACTTTATGCTGCTTTCTGAAAATAGTGTATTTCCTGAACCAGTTCTGTGTTCTTAATCCACTTTATCTTTGTGGTCATTAACCTTAGATAAACTTAGATTTAATTTTTTTTTATCTTTTAAATCCATTATGGTTACTTTAAAAATAGAGCTTCCAAAAATTTGCTTTCTGTTAGAGTTTGTTTTTAAAAACTCTATTCTAAAGAGAAAATAGGGACAAATGCACTTACTTGACCTGAATGATTTCATAGATATCTCTCCTTTTATTATTTCTGGCAGTGTTTTTGACATCTCAAAATGACAGTCAGTACATGTGATTTTGTTTAAAAAAAAACTCAGTTTCCTCTATTTTACTCTCTCTTATATAGAAGACATAAGGGAGGTCTACAAATATCAACATACCTCAACACACTTGATATGTAATATTTTAGCCAACAAAACCCAAATTTTAAGAATTATTCTCAAAATTGTGAATTTCACCCAATATATAATTCTTGGTAGGTTGAATTAGTTGCCTGTGAGTCCTTGCTGTGTTTCTGCATCATTTTCATTACTATGACTTCTTAACTATCCAAATTATTCCAATTTCAAATAATGAATATCTTATTTACTTTTCTCTTTCTGAGACAAAATACTTGACACTCAAAAGTCAAGGTGGAGACTCATCGAGCTCACCATTTAGAGTGGCTTCAGTCCATCACACACTGGCTCCAAGGCAGAATGTCACATGGCAGAGGGGCTTCACAGATGGGAAATAGTTCATGGTACTCATGCAGTAGCCACAACAACAAGGGAGCCTTGATAGCTTCTTTCCGCTTATTTTATTTTATTGAGGCCATCGAGATTAGGGCTGAGCCAAAGCAATCAGTATAATGGTTTAGCAATCACATGTCCTTAACCACAGTATCACACACTGTAGCTTCAGCCACCTCAGCAAAAAACAGTTATGACTGCATGAGTCTTTGGGGGACATCTAGACAAAAGCCATGACATTCTGCCCCTAGCCCTGCACGATCTCACATATAGTCTTTTACACAAACGGCATTTATTTAATCCATCTCTAGGAGTTGCCAAGTCCTAACAGTTTCATCATTGTGGAAAAGTGCATACCCAAAGTCTCCTCTGAGACTTAAGGCAAATTCTTAGCTTCAAGCCCCTGTACAAATGAAAAGAAAGTTGAACATTTTCCACATTTAGTGGCATAAGATAGACATTTCCATTGAAAGGTTACAAACAGGAGAATAGCAAGGAAGGAGAAAAAAGCAAGACCAAAATTCAGTAGAGCAAATGTTAAACCCCACAATTCCACTTCCAGCATCCCCAGCAATCTGTGGCAAGTTGTTAACTCCAAAGTGCTTGGGTGGCTCTCCTTCTACAGCAGTTTTGGTGGTTGAACCTCGCATGGTTTCTCTCTTCGGGCAGCTCTGCTCCTTCCTTGCAGTCTTCCTCAATCCTAGTCCCTGGATTCTCCAAACATCTGGGGTCTCCACTGCTGTGTTGGCTTCACACTCACAGCATCACACACTGAACTCTCAGGGGCACATGGCCTGGCCTCACACAACTTCTGAAATCACTGTCGAAGCCTTCCTGATCCCACAACTCTTTCATTTTGCATGCACCTGAAACCACACCACATTGATGATGCCAAGGTCTGCTGCCCGGTGGAGCAGTAGCAGGACTTTCTTCTCTTGCCCAAGGGGCCCAGTGCCTACCAAATCCTGAGGAACAGCTTCTCAAGGTCATCACTATTCTGGAATGTGATCCTCTGGGGTCCTCTTCTTAAAGCAGTCTTCCACTTTTGCAATTTTCAGACTGCAAAGGGTGGAGTCCCTCAGGCCAACTTTCATTCTCCTCTTCTTTCTCATCAACCAAGATCTCTGCTCCACCTTTGCAGGCTGCAACTTTACTGGAGTTTCTTTTCTGGCCAAACTTGAAATGTCTTAAATCATTCTGCTGGGCTCCTTACTCTTGATTCTCAACATAAATGTGGCTCACCCCCGCCCCAATAATAGACTGCCTTGGAATTTGTTTTGCCATATTCATTAGTCTGCCACCCTTAATCTCAGCCTCGAGCAGTCTCTGGATAGGAGCAAAATGCAGATAAACTTTGTGCCAAGATATAGCACACATTGTCTGGAGCCCATCAACTAATGCCGTCCCTCTTTCTAGCAGAAACCTTCTGAGCCTGGTCTTTATTGGCTTTCCGGTCTTCGGAGCTCTGACCTTACACTACAGCATAAGGTGTTCCAGCTGTACTTTTTCAGCAGTGACTTCACACTCAGTACCAAATTCTGTCTTAGTTGCTTTTCTCTTTTTGAGACAAATATCTAACATGTAAAGGGTTATGGTTTGGATCTAGATGTCCCCTCAAGCCTCATGCAATCATAGGCAGGTGAATCTGAAGTGTGTGACGCTACGATTATGGGCACATGATTACTAAACCACTATGTGAGTGATGGGTTTGGCATCGCCCTAATCCTGGTAGGTGAATAAGGTAAAAGGAGCAAAAAGATACTGTTGAGCTCTCCTGTTAATTATCCTACCTTCTGCCCCTCTGCCACCCTGTCTTGCAGCCAGCTGACAACTGTGGACTGAAATCTCTATGAACTGTAAGCCAAATAAAACTCTTCCCTTTTAACTTTGGGTACTGGGTTTTTTGTTTCAGGAATAAAACAAATTTAACTAACACAAATTTAAAGATAAACCAGTTTATTTAGCTCACAGTTTGTAGAGATTTCAGTCCGTAATTGGTCAGCTCAACACAGAGTGGCACATGGCAGAAGGGCATCACAGACAAGAAATTATTTATGTCACCCAGATGGTAGCCAAACCAACCAGGGGGCCTCAGCAGCCTCTTTCTTCCCCTGCTGGGGTTAGGCTGATGCCAAACTAATCAGTGTAGTGGTTTAGTAATCAAGTGCCTTTAATCTCAGCATCACACACTCTAGATTCAGCTACTTCTGAAAAAGCCACCGATGACTGCAGTAGGCTTGGAGGGGACTTCTGGACCGCAGCCATAATAGTGGATCAGACCACTCCTTTCTAGACAGTTACAAATTTGCTGAGGAAATTATCTTCAAAGTTCTGTCATTTGTTTAGATATGAGAGTTTGAAAACCAAGATCATTGATATAGAAATGCAACGACTTTTTATAATTTTCATAATGCTTAGTAAAAAAAAACCCTATTTCTTTTAAAAACATTGAAGGACATCTGTTGAATTTTATATATTGCGAGTTATCAGTTAACTCTGCTTTTGAAAATGTAAATCCATTTTCATGAGTGTGAACTTTTAAGGAACATTTGAAACTAACTACTCTTTGTGATATATTTTAAACACGTCATCCATTGTTTTCTTCATTTCACATTTTGCCTATTAGTATGAGATTTACTTTTCAAAATTACTTCCCCAAATTGGTCTTCTCTGTTCAACTTGTATTTATTATTTCTAGTTTCTAGATTTATAAATTGAAGAAAGAATCTAGATGTTGTATATTTTCTTCGGAAATTTACTTAGTAAACTTTCTATTGTATTTTTCTAATATGAGCTTTACTTAGAGAAAAATAACATATCTTTTCTACAAAGAGATATATTGTTGGTACATATACATACACAGTATGACCAAAATACACAGTATAAATTTACTTTCTTTTTTTTTTTTTTTTTTTTTTTTTTTTTTTTTTCCAGGGATCAAACTTGGGTCCTTGTGCTTGCAAGGCAGGCAGAGAGGCACCACTGAGCTAAATCCCCAGCCCTTCACAGTATCCATTTAAATTTTTAAAAAATATTGTAGTAAAAGTCAAAGTGTTAGCTTCAAAATACTTTATCTCATTTAAAACGTATTTATGCATTTGTTCTTGCCCCTTTCTCTGGTAGCTCTGAAGTTGTCTTTCATGAGAGTTTAGTTATTGCTGTCTTTGCTGCCTGGATGTCCTAAATCACCTCAACACGTTTACACTTCATGATCGTTTTGACTTTGGAGAAGTGTCAGGAATTGCACAGGGACAGACTGAGTGAACAAGGTGGACAAATGAAAAACCAGCTTGTCTTTCCCCTTCATGGTAATTGGCAGCAGCATTAATTTTATTTTTTCTAATCAAGTCTCATAAGGCACTCTTGAAAGAGGACTTAGAGATCTGCTTCAAAAATTAACAAGAATGATAGGTTAAGTGTGTTCAATCCAGGGGGATTATTTTCACAGTGTTTATTTCAGTTTTATTTATCACTTACTGCAGATTTCTTAAAGTTTTTACTGCATATTTTGATTGCCCTTTGTATATATTTTTCCCATTTAAAAAATAACTCCCTGTTTTCATCAATTCTCCCAACTAGCATGCCTGAACAACTTAGATGCTTTCCTTAATAACAGATGCTGTGACAGCAATTGCATCAACTCATTCTAACACGGGGCAAGGACAAAGAGGACTGGGTTATGAAAATGCCTGGACTGAAATAATGGTCTGTTTTAGGTCAAAAAATGGTCTTTTATTGAAGCTTATAATAAAGAACAACTTCCTTAAGTATTCTTATATTCTAGTGTAGCTGTCATGGGGGTGATAATGATGTGCTAAAAATGACAACTATAATAACATTTCCATGTTCTTATGTTTTAAGCAGTTTTGCCTGTAGGTGTCATGATGTTTCCTGTCATCTTTCTAAGCCATCAATATTACATGTTCATTGACAAGTGCCGCTGTTATCATGGTACAATGGCCATTTTGCATCACCTTAGATCAAATCTGAGTAAGTCTTTTCACCACTTTTGTTTACAATTTATGATTATGATTTATAGTTTTCATTTCTGTGATCTTTTGGATCAGAAGAGGTCTTGATAAATAATTTCTTAAATAGTCTATACAAACTAATACTCCCATTAGATTTTTGCTTTGGTGAACTTCAGATGTCTTTGCAGAATACTATATAATCATTGTTAAATACAACCTTTTGTATTGGGCTAAAATATCTCTAGAATATTTTATATGGCAGTTGATGTATATTTTATTTGTTTAATATTCTAGAATGATTTAGATATTAGATGATGTATTTTGAATGATTTATTATATAAAATTTACTGATAAAACTTAACATCATATACGCATAATGGGGTTATATACTCATTCGTTAATTTTAAAATATTTTATGTTTTTGCCCTTTTGTTTTCCTACCTTTCCATACTAATTGTGACTCGATGGCATAAAATCCCATATGTTCAAGCAATTATTATTTAATTGGCATTAAAATAAATGTTCCTAATTTGTATACCTTTACTAATAATTGGCTAATATTACTCTTACTCTACACCAATATATTTTTCTTTCTAAATGTACTATATACCCGGTATTAAATTTTGAACACAATGCCTCTGCACTGATCTTATACCACCTTTTATTTTAGAGAGGCTCTTGCTAAGTCACTAGTTGCCCGTGTTGGCTTCAAACTTGTGATCTTCCTAAGTGCTAATATTACAGATATGAACCACCAGGCATGGCTACAAAGTTTTTGTGAGTAGGAATATGTTAATAATTCAAATTGACAAGCACTTTCCTATAATAAACTATGAAGAGAGAAAATCATAAAATGCATAGACTTGTACTAATGCATGCACAAAAACTGTTAATAAATAATATTCAATAGAATTATTTTTAAAAATAGACTTAGAAAACAATAATGTGATACATTCCATGTGTATTTTTTAAAACAGCATGTTCATGGTATGTATAAATAAACATATAAAATTGCATTTGCAAGTTAAAATATAAATAGGATTGAATGCTAGAAAATTTTCAGAGATTTATCAGTATTTGTCAAATAAACATGGATAAATCTATTGCATTGGCTAAAGCTTTAAACTTTCATCCTACATGAGTGAAACAAAAGATACACATAAGAATATTCACACAGGTAAAATAGTGAAAAGTTCAGATGGTAAAATAAATTGAAGTATACAATTGTAGATTACTATTCAGGCACCATGTAGTATTGAGTAGCAATTTAAAAGATTATAAACTATCTTGTACATAAATGGATGGCTACCACAAGTAAGACAAAGTAAATCCTCCAAATTGTGAGGTGTGATGGAAAAGTACATTGTGTGTTTAAATATAATACATTGTACCATAGGAAAAGACACCTTGACATTCTATCCCTTGTTAATAACCCCCCGTCACTTGGAACATACTTATTGCTTCATTCTTGCCATTTTCTGAAGCAGTTCTGAAGTCTTGGTGATTGTCTTAAGTTGTGCTGTTGTGGTTGCCAAAATGTCCTACATATCTTCAAAACCTTCATCGTTTGTGGTCATTTTGCCTTTTGTGAAGATCCAGAAGCCACACAGTTGGGTTCCACATCTTGTAAATAAGATGGAAGAGGACGCACCATAATGGTTTTATGATTGTGCCCTTCCTTCCCTTGAGCGGAACACAGCAGCAGCAGCATTCACCATATCTTTTATCACATTTCAAAAAGATAGGAAAAATGATTGCTTTGGCAAATGGAAAGCATAATGGGACAAGCATGTTCAAAGGGAAGGTGAGTATTATAAAGGAGAATAATGGTGATATGTCATTAATTATAATAGTTTTTTTAAAAAATTGTGAACATCCATTGTGCTGGTGTTGCTTAATTACCCCCTGTAGATTAGAGTTCATCTATACAGGTAAGTGAATGAGCACAACGAGAAATATTTAAAGGTACTTACTAGGTTCTTAGTATGGAGATTTTGTGAAGAAAGGAATGACAGAGTCAGAACTGAAGAGAAAGTTTCAATTTCTATTATTCATCTTTTGTATTGCTTGCTATTTCCACAGGATAATATCACAAGAAAACATAACTAAGAAGGAAGACACTCAGAAATATAAGAAAGCAGAGGGAGGAATCCACTCTGAAAATAACAAAGAGGAGATCTAAGACCAAATGTCATGAATAAGACTTAAATTCCATAGAAGTCTTCTTTAAATGTAAAAACACCATGTCCCCTATGATTATTATAATTTTAAAAATTTTACACTTTCTCAAAAATGCAAAAATATACAAAAATGAAAGGGAAGAATAGGAGATGGTCATGCATACATACATACATATATGGATGTATGTACATATCTGTCTATGTATATAAACTTGTAATTATACATATGTCCACGTATATGTGAACAGAGCAAGATTTGCTATTATCAAATCAAGATCTGTCTTTAAAAATTTAACAGCAATAAAGTACATACAGTAGACCTTCAAATTATGACTGGCCTGATATTCAAACAACTTGGCTTAATTAGGTTCATGGAAGATTCATCTGCCTCTTGTTATCAGCAATGTGTACCCAGGTAAACATCCTGATCTCAGCTGTACTTAAAACCAGTCCTCAGGAAACCATCAAGCTGGTAAATCAAGGGACCACTACAAGAACAATAAGAATAATGATGAATAATGACTGGTAAGAGTTATAAAAGGCTTAATACATGTCACTTACCATGCTAAGTGTTTTGTATGTGCTAATTCATTTAATATTCACAGCACCCGAATAAGGTAGGTCTGAGACACACGGGGTAAGTATATTGTCCAGACCCTTAAACGTAGTTAGTGACTGATCCATTCTTAGGTCCAAGTGGTCTGCTTCCAAGGATCTGTGATTCAAAAATCTACTCTAAGATGCCAAGAAGAATATTAGCATAATAACAATTACCATTTGGAAAACATGTTCAAAAATCTTTCATAATAGCAATAAAACGTGAAATATTGAGACATAAGTTAGGCAATATGCACTCATAAATAAAACTATAAAATCATATTAGGGAAAAGTTAAAAGAAGGTATGATTAAATGGCTAGACAGACTACATTCCTGGATGAGAAAAAATATATTGAGAAATTGTCTATTAACCTTGATTTTTAGATTTAATTGAATTGAAGTTAAAATCTAAACCATCTTTGAAACTCATTTAAGTGATTTCATATTCATTTGGTAGTATAAGTAGGTGAAAGGTTCAATATTCAATAAAAGAAAGTCAGTGGGAGTAGTTCAAATCTTATGAAATAAAAATCATGATATGTTTGCAAATGTAAAAACATAAAACAATATAATCGAAACACAATATATTGTCACAAAGGTAAAAAAAAAGTCAGCTATCATGTTTTTGGTTGATTGATTCTGTAACCACTTGTGACTGGCCTCAATGATAAAGACTGACTGACCACTTCACCTACCAGAGACATTCAGAAACATATGGGCTAAAGTATAGCTTGGATTTAATCCTGATTTCTTCACTGTTTTCTGGGTTCTGCTTTTCGATATCAGCTGCACTGTACACTGCTCTTCCTCTGTTTGCAAGCTGACTATGGCTGCAGGCTTTGTTATTCATAAGGAGGTAGTAAACCATGTATGTATCCACTGCTATTTAAAGAAAAACACCCTATTTTAGCTCTAAGTGGGCTTTAGGAATCAATATCAAGCCCTGGGGAACATCATACATTTTGCAGTTCAGGATTTTAAGTCAGTGGGTTGCTATGTGACCGGAGAGAATAGGCTTCCACGAGGAGATCTCAGGGCTTGGAATGATGGGGTGGAAGAAGTTTGCTATACGGAAGCAAGTCACGCAAACATACGTGTGTTCAAACATGTTTGCATGACAATATTTTATGTTAAAATGATTCCAGTAAAATATGTAATAGTTATAAATCAGAACTATGCCAGAGTAGCGTTTTGTTCATATTTTTAAAATAAACTTATAATCTTTTTTATTATTTTAAGTTTTTGTTACTTAACAACACTTTATCCAGTTTCAAGTTATGGCATTGTAGCAAACACAGAAACATAGATCAAGTGAATTGTGAAGATGGTGCTGAAGGAGAAAGCTGTATATTAATTCATGAGCTAATAACAGTGGGTTATTTATCAAGTTTTTAAGGTAAGGAAAAACAAGTCATTATAAATTGACATCAAGTCTGAGGCGATTTATTATTTCATGTAACTGGAAGACCTGGAAGCATTATTATTCTCACTGTACAGATAAGGAAGTGGGGTGTTAGAAAGTTTAAACAACTTACCTGCAGTCCCATACATTGTAGATTTAAGATTTTAGCCCATATTTCTGTCGCGAACTCTTAGTGTTCTATGTGAGCTCATTATTACTTTGTTTTTCCCTTGGAAAAATCCACTCTGATTCCTGTAATACAAACAATCTGAGAAGAAAAAATATGACACTAATTTATCTTTTAAAGGGGAGATTACAATAAGATGAAATCAATATGCCCTATTTTATTATATGACGATGAGATTCCTCTTTGAAGGAAGCTCCCTGGGGAAATAACTTGAAGTGCTAATTGAAGTAGGTCCAACTCATTTTTGGAATACAGCAAAGCATTAAAAGGCAGAGATGAGGCTGGCCTGGGCTACCCAGTGAGTTGGTATGTAACTACACAGCAAGACCTGTCTCAAAAAATAATTAAATACAAATAGATTATATAAAATAAATAAATATGGATAATATCATTGTTAAAAGGGGGAGGGAAATCACCTATTGAAGAATAGGGTATTTTCTTTGGAACTTCTGAGTTCCAGAGTCAGACACATAGATGAAGAAAAAAATGTTTGCTTAGAGGAAAATACGGGGGGGCAGAAGGGGATGAAAGAGAGGTCTAGAGAAAGCATGGGGGCAGCGTCGTGTGTGTGGGCACCTAGAAGCTCTGAAAAATTCTTATAGTTCATTGATGTAATTACTACTTCTGACTCCACTCATCACTTAAATCAGTAGTCATATTGTCCATATTCAGAAATGCTTTGGGGAAACCTATACAAAGTAAAATATAAAACAGAATCTTTCATTTACATTTTCAGGATAGTATAAGGGGGAAACACACACTGAAAGCAGATTTAGGGCTGAAATTCTGCAGAAATAAAAGTACTTGGTACCAATGTGGAAAAAAGAAATTTCAGGGATCAATGCATTTGGACATTTAAGGCCTTTGGAATGAAGGGCTCTTAACAATTCCGTTTAGAGTTTAAAGTTCAGAAAGGCCTTTGCTGTTTCACTAAATGAAGGCTATTTCTAAATGAAAAGCAGATAAAACAAGTTACAGGCTTTTCTTATAAAGCCTTCCATTTAATATTTTTCACTTCTGTTTAATATGCTTTCAAGAAATGTGTATTGGTTCCCTGACTTCTGCTACATCCTGGAAATGTTAAACATTAGAGTAGCTCCTTACCTTCCTGGAATTTGTTTACCAATAAATAATTTAACAGTCTTTGTTAAGCTACAAATTCTGTAACTATTACTATTTTAGTTATAACTGCGATAAGAGACATAAAGGAACTTGTGAAGAACTAAGAAACCCTAAATTCCCCGCAAGGAACCTCCACTCTGCTTGAGGAAGTAAATATTAGTTTATCCTTAACTACAGAGCAGGGGAGGTGCAAAAAAAAAAAAAAAAAAAAAAAAAAAAAAA